AACAGAAAAGCATTAGAAGGCGCCCTGGGCGGCCCCTAGCCCGGAGCCAGGCCCCATTCCTGCCAGGCCCTGCTCTGCACTTACTATTTCACACATGGCATCACCTCCTGTTCCTGGCCAGCCTTCTCAAATACCAGGCCAGCATGTAAGCATGACCTTCCTTGGCCTCTAAGAATACTCTTCCTCTTCATTTCCCTTGAGCCACCCTTAAATCTCCCACTCTGCAGCCAACTTAGCCTAGGACCACCTGCTCCAAGGCCAGGTGCCCCGAGGCTTTGCCCATTCCTAGGCCCTGATCAAGTAGCCCATTTCTTCACTCTCCAGGTCTCTTCCCTTCATACACTTAATCTACACAGGCCCTGGGATCCCTGGGTGGCTCAGCGGTTTGGCGCCTGCCTTTGGCCCAGGGCGTGATCCCGGAGTCTGGGGATCGAGTCCCACGTTGGGGTCCCTGCAGGGAGCCTGCTTCTCCCTCCTCCTGTCTCTCTCTCTCTCTCTCTCTGTCTCTTATGAATGAATAAATAAATAAAATCTTTTAAAAAAAATCTAAGGGATCCCTGGGTGGCGCAGCGGTTTGGCGCCTGCCTTTGGCTCAGGGCGCAATCTGGGAGACCCGGGATCGAATCCCATATCGGGCTCCCGGTGCATGGAGCCTGCTTCTCCCTCTGCCTATGTCTCTGCCTCTCTCTCTCTCTGTGACTATCATAAATAAATAAATAAATTAAAATAAAATAAAATAAAAATCTACACAGGCCCTGTTCCTCTCGAACCCCTTCAACCTATTGTTCTGAGAGGCCTCCAGACAGAGGGGCCAGCGCCACCATTCCACCTGTCTCGCTCCAGGTTACTCTATTCCGCAGGCCCCGCCCCAGCATCACACGCCCCGCCCATCGGCCTTGCCAGTCCGCTGAGTCGGGTCCTGCTCCAGGCCCACTCTCTACTCCACCTGGCGCTCTAGGTCCCTCCCAGTCCCCTTCTCTCCCGCGGACTCGCCTCCAGCCTACCACCGGCCCCTCCAGCCCCACAGATCCTTCCCCGCCCCAGCGCCCCCGCTCCCAAGCCCCGCCCCACCTCTCGAGGCCCCGCCTCCAGAACAGGCCCCGCCCCATCCCGCAAAGCCCCGCCCCTCAGCGTCCGGCGGGGTTCGGCTCACCGTCGCTGTCTGCCGCCCCGAAGGCCTCCTGCTCCAGGCGGCGCGCCTCCTCGCGGCCGCGCAGCTCGAAACGCCGCGCCCAGCCGGGCCGCGCCCGCCACAGCTCCTGCACCAGCAGCGGACGCTCCGAGTCGCCCAGCACGCGCAGGTGCTCCGCCCGCCACTCGCCGCCGCCCACGCCGCCCGCCGCGGGCCGGCCCAGCGCGTCGCACAGCGCGAAGGCGTCCACGCAGCTGCTCTCGCCCGGGCCGCCCCCGGGGCTGCCCGACAGCCCGTAGCGCTCCAGCGCCTCGGCCACCAGCTCGCGTGCCGTGGAGCGCGCAGTGGCCAGCACGCTCTTGTAGTTGGCGCCCGACGCCAGCCCGGCGCCGAAGATCTTGAGGACCCCCGGGGGCGCCGTGGCGCGGGCGGCTAGCGGGGGCTCGGGGGCCACGCCCGCCGCTAGCTCCGGCAGCTTCTTCTCGCTGGCCCAGCGCTGGGCGCCCCCAGGAGTCCCGGGGCCTCCCGCGCCGCCGGACCCCGTGGCCCCGGTCCCCGAGCCCCGAAAGAGCTGGGAGATGCGCTTGGCGCGACTCCCGGAGGCTCCCCCGGCCGCCTTCACCGCGCCCACTCTCCGCAACTCCACGTGCGGTGGCGGCGGGGGCAGAGGCTCGCTGCTGCGGCTCCCCGTGTCTGAAGACGACGACCTGGGAGCGCGCCGGGGAGTGGAGAGGCGGGGAAAGCCCCAGGCAGACAGGCAGAGGCCGGAGTAGATGGTGGAGAAGGAGAGAGGTAGGCAAAGACCGAGATGGAGGGGACAGAGACCCAGGGAGAAAGGAATTGGGGGGCAGAGACCCAGAGAGCAACAGAGACCCATTGAGAGGGGACAGAAAACGAGAGAAAGAGGGACAGAGACCCACAGAAGGGCGAGAGATGCAGGGGGTGGGGGTGGGGGGCGACAGAGATGGGATTGGGCAGAGGCCAGAGGCAAAGAGAGAGAGAGAAATAAATAAATAAAGGCGAGTCCCACAGAAGGAAATTCCAAGAGGTAAGCAGGGAGAGGAGGAAGGAAGGTAAATCAAACCCCTATCCCGGGGTCCCCATCCCCTTGTCCATCCAGCCTAAGCCCATCTATAGAGCCGGCACTCCCCCACACCGGGTCTAGGAGCATTGATGCCCACTTGTCTCCTCTTGCCTGCCAGTTCACTTGCCCATTCAGGACAGGAACTGGAAGCCAATCCTTGGAGCCCCTGGCATTACCCAGTGCAGAGACTGGGTGATAAACAGGGACAACTGGGAGGTAGATGGGGCAGGGGCAAGAGTCTCAAGGAGGTGGGCACTCACTTAACAGAGGCAGCACTGGGCCAGCGCCGCCCCAGCTTGGCCAGCTGCTTCCTGGGAGAATTGATCCACAGGCCCACAGGGAGATGGAGCTTCCCGAAGCGGGGGCTTCCGCCCTCCTTCCGTTCACCAGATAGCATGGCCCTAAGGAAGGGTGGGTAAGACCCGACTCCTGAGGCCCAGAGTGGTGGGGCTGGGATGGAGGGGGACCCGGACTCCTTGGTCAGAGAGAGAGGGGCTGGGGCTCAGACTTCTGAGTCCGAATGCAGGAGAAGGATGGGAGCGGGAACTCCTGGGTGCTACGGTGGGAGATGACTGGGGACTGGCTCCCAGGTCTGAGGGAGGAGGGGTCTGGACTCCTGGGTCCCTGGCTCTTACCCTGCTTCAGGTCCCAGCAGCACCCCGGGGCCTTGGCTCCGTTGGCCCTGGTTGGTTCCTGACCTCGCTGCTCCTGTTCAGCCTTTGCCTCTGCCCCAGCTCCCAGCACTGGGTGGGGGACAGGAAAAGGCAAGAGGAAACCCGGCAGGAAGAGCGGGGAGGGGGCGTCCTGTGAGAGGACTGGGCCTGGGGGAGGAGATGTGGGGAGGGCTGGCCTTTCCCCGCTCCTTGATTCTGGAATTAGTCTCAGCCAGTTGGCCCTTCCAGGACTCAGGGAGCTGGGTTCCAGCCCCTCCTCTCTCACACAGGAGACCATCCCCAGACCCAGACCTCTCCTCTAGGGAAACCAAAAGTTAGGATCAGATGGGAGGAATGACTCAGATATTTAGACCACCAGATAAATCTTTACTGGAGCTTTGATGCCGAGAGTTTTCCCTTTGGAACACTGGGCTTCGGGGCAGCCTGGGGCTTCCGGGTACTCTGGGGCTTCTGGGCACCCTGGGGCTCCGGCCCACCCTGGGACTCCAGGGCAGCCTGGGGCTCCATAGCAGTCTGGGCCTGCTGAGCAGCCTCCTTCTGGTTGGTCCTCCAAGACTTTATGTAACTGATCACCTTCCCAGGTCGAAAGCAAAGGATCCTGGGGAGGGTGGGGTGCAAATAGCGAAACCAGATTAGGTCCTGAGTGAGAGACACCCCTCCCACCCTCCCTATATTTGATCCTATTCTAGTAGTGACCCAAGCTGAGCCCACCTAGGTAAGCCCCACCCTGTTCTGTAGGCCCCGTCCACAAGGGAAGTGCAGCTCTCAGGGTTCCCCAGTTCCCAGACCCCCTCCGCCGGTAGGAAGTTGGAGGTCCCTCCCCTTGCCCCAAGCCCTGCCTTCTTCAGAGGGCGGCTTACGCGGTCACAAAGGCGATTAACAGCACCAGTAAGCCCCAGAGCAGCAGTCCTATCAGACGGCCTCTCAGAACGTCCTCGGACTTCGGACACTCTGACGGATTAGCCAGGGCGGTTGGGAAGAGCAGAGAGAGATCCCATTCCGTAGAGAATTCGTACTCTGTGGTAGTAGTAGTAGTGGTTGGTGACGACCGGACGGCTCCACCGGCTCTTTGGGGCAGCACTGATAGAGAGGGAAGGAGTCCTGGGAGGGCACGAAGGTCCCGCCATGGCCAAGGCAAGCCCTCTCCACTCCAACTCGCCCCAAGACCCAGGTCTCTTCCAGGAGAGCAGCGCGTCCCTAACTGCGTGAATCTCTGTCCGGCAGCGGAGGGCCACAGGGTGCGAAGCCACACCCTCGTGGCCTGAAACCACACCCCAACAGGAGGTTAAGCGCCGCAGGCCCGTGCCCTGAAGCCGACTCCCCCCAACCCCAGGACCCTGAATCTCACACTTCTGTCAACTCCCCAGCACTGACCTCTGACACGAAAATGCGTGACCGCGGCACGGGAGGTTTTCATATTGGCCAACTCGCAGCGGTAGGTACCTGCATCTTCTAATCTCACCATGGCCTTGGTCAGGGTGGGCTCTTTCCCCACGGACAGCAGCAAGCTGTTGCTCCCTAAAACCTAGACCCAAGCTCAAGGGGTCACAGAGGCCTGGGGAATTCAGGGTTTCGGGTTGTACAGGGGTGAGATAACCACGGGGTCTCAATGGGGGAAATGGGAGTCCAGGGTATACTGGGGCAGGGCATAGGGTCTCCGGGGATCAGAAGCAGCAAAATCTGGTAGATCATGGGCCATAGGGATTGTAGATGCAAGCCTCTGGATACAAAGATCAGGGGGCGCACACAAGCCTGATGGACTCGGGGTTCAAGGGTTACAGGAGTTAGTGGGTCCCACCCTGTAAAATGTGTAATTGCTCAGGCCTGCAGAGATTCGATGCCAGCTGAGCTCACAATCCAGGACCAGGTCTTCCAGTTCATGGACCACGACTTCGTGCACTGGGGATAGGGAGTTACTGTGGGATGCTCCCTCCTAACTCGCTCCTACTTTGTCTCGGCCAGCTCCAGCCCCCGCCCCCTCCAGAGTCAGTCCCTCCTCTGGCTCCGCCCTCTTTGCGTCGACCCCTCCTTCTGGTCCCAGCTCGCTCACCTCCGCAATCGATGGACTTTCGACAAGTGTGTATTCCCTTCAAGCAGTTATGGCACCAGATCAGAGTCTGCAACATCTGACCTGAAGGGGCAGCATCAACGCTGTATTCGCCCTGAGAGGCGAGGCTAAAAGGAGAGGGCAGGGCCAAGGGCAGGGGCGGGGTCAGGTGCCCAAGTCCCTAGGAGGTCAGCCCAAGGGGCGGGGCTACGAGGAAGCCCGGCAGAAAGAGGGATCCAACCCGACTCGGTGAAGAGCGCAAATAGAATAGGACCCGCTCCCCCGTGAGTCCGTAGTGCCGAAGGAATATTGGAGACCAGGAACCTCTCAGAAGTGGAAAATTAAGAAACATCGAGACCCCAAGGGGGAGGTTCATAACCGGGAGACGATGAGGGATAGAGGACCAGCTCCTATAATCCGGACTCACCACATTTGTTGGGACAAAAACCTGCCTCAGAAGAAAGAAAGAAAGAAAAAAAGAGGATCAGATTTCTAAGTTAAAAGAGATGAGGGGGGCGAAGGACTAGGTTGGGGTTTGGGCTCTTGGGTTTGAGGGAGGAAGGTGCCTGGATCCCTGGGTCCCCAGGAAGGTGTCTGGATCCCTGGGTCCGAGGACAGAATTGCAAGAACTGAGGGGCTGGAGACGGGGACTGTGGGACTTTTGAAGAAAGGGGCTGTGGTCCCTGACAGACTCCCATCTTCCCTCACCCTTTTTTTGGAACTGGGTTATAGTTGTCAGAATGGAAGCTTTTTGCTTGATTAACATCCAGAATATCTGACTCAGGAAAGCCTCACCTGGGAAGGAACAGGGGTGACACAGAGTGCTTCCTCTCTCCCTCACCCATCCCAGGAGTGAGGTACAGGAAGTTTGTCTCTGTCAGAAGAGACTGGCATTCCACTTGGTGTCTTCTCAGGGAGGGACAATGAAATTCAATGACCACTTAACATAATGCTGGGCCACTGAGCTAAGCGACAGCTGGCATGAAGGCATTATTTTGATCTTCATTTAGAAATGACAAAGCTGTGAAATCCCTCACTCAGGCCCACAAAGGAGATGACAGAGCTGGAATTCTAACCTAGGCAGTTTGGCTCCAGAGCCACTACCAGACCAGCTGTCACCAACTATTACTTTTCTGGAAGATTCTGGAGCCCCTCCTCCCCTGACCCCTCTGTGCATTTACCTTGTTGTTCAGAGTTTGTGATACGTTTCAAATTCTTCAGAAAATCCACGGATAACTTTTGCAGTGTGGGGGAATCTGGAGGAGGGGAGGGAGAAGGGGAGATAGAACTCCAGATTCAAGCCTTTCTGCTTCATTGGCTCACCTAGTCTTAGAAACTACAGTACCCATGGGGCAACTGGGCAAGGCTAGGACTGGTAAAGGGATTGCCTGACCGTTGCCTTCTGGGAGTTGTAGTTTTTCACATAAAATTGCAGGCTAAGGGGGAGGGAAACACGGCATTTGCTAGCCCGGGGTAAATCGGGAACCTGCATCTTGGCCTTCTCCATTCCGAACCCTGTAGACTCTGGCTCCAGTCCTTCCCTCCCTTCCCACCCTGGCCCCACACCCAGCAATCCTAGCCCCAGACCAGACCCCTCCTTTCCCAGGACTCAGGATTTCCACGCTCTTCCCTGCCCTCACCGACAACCCCTAAATGTTGATCATTTAAATCTGGGATTTTCCTGAAATCGTTCAGCAGATACTTTATCCTGTCCAACACGCCTTGCAGTTCCTGACCCCGACTCGGCAGGTACTCCACCTCAAAGTGGTATAGCGCCTCCACGACCTTTGCATCGCAAGTGACACAGCCCCGGGCAGGAAGCAGGCAGCCGGCCAGCGCCGCCACCAGGAGGGGAAGTTGCGGACCCATTGCGGCCAGAGCGCTCAGTCCGCGCAGAGCCTGGGGGAGGGTCCTCTCACCCTAAACGTTCACGCTAGGAAGAAGAGAGGGAAGCGTTAGACTCGAAGCTCTTCCCCGAGACCAAGACCCCCAAAATATTTGCAGGGCGCACACTTCTCGGTTAGGAAACCGGGGAGTCCGGAGATCCGGTGCACCGTTAACAACCGTTCTCCGATCTTGGCCTCGACTGACTGTTGCACCCTCAAATACTAGGGTTCGCTGAAGAGCCGAATCCGGGCTGAGGGCTTTTAGGACAAGCAGGGCCCGTCCTTCCAACTCTGATATTTTCCCGCGACTAAAATTAAGGATTTTGGGGGGAGAGGGTGAGGTTGGTCGCGTGATTTGGAGAGCTTTTTGAATGGAGACAAAGTCACCGTTCGCCCCGACCTACAAGGAGTTTCCACAGCTTCCAGCTTCTAGCTTCCCACTTGGGGCCGCAACTTCCCAGAAGATGCTCCCTGGGAGTTTCCTTGGCCCCGCCCCACAAGCCCAACGCTGAGTCTCATTAGACCGTAACAAAGGGAGGCTCCGCCTACCGTTCCGTGATATCACAGAGACTGCTGTCTTTTCAGACCAGAACTTTCCTAGCGTCTACCGAAAGGAAAAGTATTTTGTCCCCTCCGGCTTCTAAAGCCAAGGAAAGGGCTTCTGGTCTTCAGCTTCCTCCCGTCCTTCAGCCCCCGGACCCAGGCTTCCGGCAAAGTGCACAGGGCCTTTTGCAAACCTGGCTTCGAGCCACGACCCTGAGAGAAGTGGCCCGTTCTAGCCCTCAGACTACAACTCCCAGGAAGCCCTGGAGCTCTCCCTAGCCGATTACTCTGGCCGCCCCGAGGACTAGATGGGAAATGTAGTTTCAAAATTGCGCACTTCAGACTCCTGGGTGGCTTAGGGCGCGATCCTGGAGTTTCAGGATCCAGTCCCACTTCGGGCTTCCCGTGTGGAGCCTGCTTTTCCCTCTGCCTATATCTATATATCTCTCTCTGTCTCATGAATAAATTAAACAACAAATAAATAAATAAATAAATAAATAAATGAAAAATTGCCCACTTTGTTCACTCCTCCCTCTACCTTCTCTCCCTGGCCCAAGGGGCTTGATGCCAGGGTTCCAGAGGAAAGAGGCCTAGAACCAGTACTGAGAAACTGGGGCCCTATGGATCCAGCAGGTCTCTCCTTTTCTGCATAACTGAAACAGGCCACCAGAAAAACAAGCACCAGGGTTCACACGACTCTGAGAACCAGAGGCTGCCAGACCAGAGCAGGACAATACTCCTGCTCTGACATGAATAATGAGTCCCTGGCAGTTCTGCACTTTGCCTCCTCCTCCTCCTATGCACACACACACACACACACACACACACACACAACTCCAAAAAATCTGCAGACAGAAGTTGGCGATGTGGACTTTTAATTCATACCTCCCTCTTTTCAACCTTGGCAGCTGAGTAGGGAGTGATCCCTCCAAACTCCTTGAGATGACTGAAAAAGGGGCTTGAATTCTTCTGGTTAGATAGGGGATGTGATCATGGTTGTCTATAATAAAGCTAGCTATCCCCACTGCCTTCAAAAAGCCTCAAGGGGTTCCTAGAAGCTGAGTCCAGAATCCCATCATCCTTTGCCAGACCCTGTGCTCTTTCCTGCCTGGGTTTGAGGCCAGCCCGGACTCTGCATACCTTCAGATCCTTTCAAATTCGAAGCCAGATTTAGTGGTTCTGTGAAATGGGGGCGGGGGTGGGGGGAGCGACACAATCTTAGAGGCTTGCAGAAAAGCCCAAGGAAACAGTCATGCTGGCTGAATTCCAGAAAATTGATCGCATCACCACCCCGCCGCTCCCACCCAGCCTCACCCTACTGCCCCCGCAGCCCAGCCACAGACCAGCCACAGACGTAGAGGAGGAAACTTTCAACTTTCATAACTGGGAGAGGTGACCTAGTGCGGTGCTTGTCTTTGGCAGCTTTTGATCTTAAAAAAAAAGTGTTCCTATATTTCTGGAAAACTCTGCTCCAGGAGCTTTCAGCAGCCGTCCCCTTTCCCCACCTCGCATGTTTTCAGCCTATCTGCTCAAAAAAGTCTTTGTCCTTTTTTTCAGGGGCTGAAAGGTGGGACAGATTTTGGATCTGCTCACAGCTACAGATAGTTTTTCTTCCACCAATCTTTCTGGCAGTGGCTGAGGTGTTGCACTTCTGATTGTACCTTCCTGAGATTCTCCTGGAATTCCAGAACCCCATTCCCTCTGGAAGAGCCCTGCAGAATTCTTCACTGGCACCAGAATTGGCCCTCTCTAGAATGACTCCAGAAGCATAGCCGGGGAGTTGGTGAATGCTTGCTCTAGAATACCCACAAATTCCCTCAGTCCTGAGGCCTGAACCTCTCTTTTAGAAAAGACCAGGGGCAACATTAGAAGGCAGAGTTCCCTGTTCTTAGGGTACAGCCATCTAGAAGTACTCTAGATATGGGCTGGGAAGAACAGGTAGGCATTGCCTTCTAGAACTAACATGAGCCTCCCTGGACACTGCCAACCATCAGGAAAAGATCTTCTGCTGGTTCTAGAATGTCCAGGCAGCTACAGAAAGCTGTCCTTTCTCTCAGAGTCTAGCCAGCTAGAATTACTCTAGAAGTGGATGCCCACCTGCTGCAGGACTACCACAAGCTTCTCCAAAAGCTCCCAGGCCTCTGGAGATGCATAAATGCTGGCACAAGCATGATCAGCTATTCCAGAAAGTCTCCCTGCTGTTTGCTCAAGGCCCCACCAATGACTGGACTGCGGACAAGTTTGCATTAATGCCCACCCACTCAGGCAGGAAGGCGGCCTCAGGCTTAAAGATCTTCAGGAAGTTGGAGTCCGGCAGGGTGAAGTTGGCCAGGTAGACAGTGTCTCCACCAGCCAGGTAGGCAGCCCAGAAGCCAAAGGTCCCAATGGTCATGATGGTGTGGTTGCACTGGGTGAGCAACGCAAAGTCCTTCCCAGGTGAACCCTCCTGCCCATCGCCAGCAAAGATCACATCCCCAAGCGAGGTGTCGATGTTCTCGCGGCACCACTCCATGCCATTGCTGGTGACCACAAAGATTGGGGCTTCATGGCGTGCCCGGAACCAGTCCATAGCCTGCTGGAGGTAAGCACGATCGCCCACCACACCTTTCCAGCGATGGGGCATGACTTGCAGATAGTCTCCACGGCGCACGTGGACACCCACAAAGGTCCGGGGACGGTCCCCGGAGTGGCCCAAGCGGAGCTGACTCAGTAGATGCTGGGCCTCCTGCCGCAGATGATCGTGCAGGGTGAACTCCCTGCGGATCTGTTCGCGGAGATGGTGGAAGAAGGTCCAGGAGCAGGGGAAGCCCGTGAGCTTCAGGAAGGGATCCTTCAAGTGGGCATAGTCCTCTGACATCCAGTCATGCAGCTGCAACTCCCGCCACGGCATGTGGCTGTCCACCTCAGGCGCCAGCACGGGCAGGGTGATGCGGAACACAGGGGCGAGGGCGGCGTGCATGGCAGGCAGGATGAAGGCCTGGCGACGGTTGAGCTGGGCCAGGGCGAGCAGAGTGGCATACTGCCCCATCTGGTTGCCAAAGCGGCCATCTGGGGAGATCGTCCAGGTTCCAGAGAGAGAGGCCAGGTGCTTGAAACAGGGAAAGGAGGTGTTGGGGCTCAACGGCGTGCCTGACAGGCAGAAGATGGCCACAGGGGATGTCATGAGGCGGCGGTCTGGACACAGGGCAGTCAAGTCTAGGCCACCATGAAAGAGGTCTTGGTGGATGTGGAGGAAGAAGACGGCTGAAAGAACACAGACTAGCAGGAAGGTCAGGCACAGCTGCCGTCGGCTGGGAGTCCACATGGCTGCATGGAGGAAAGGGGAGTTAGCAGGTCCTCAGGTCCTCAGGGGCCTGAGGACAAATATCAAGGAGCAGAGGCCAGAGAGAAGGAGGATACTAGGGATTCAGGGTCCTGGGTCTGAGGGAAGGGGGATCAGGGTCCTGGATCTGAGGGTGGAGAAGCAGGGTCTAGGAATTTCAGGGGATGCGGATGGGGAACAGTGCTTTCCAAGAGAGCAGTGGTCTAGGATCCAGCATCTCATCACCACGTCTTGGAATCTGGGTCTCCCAGTCGGTGAGGCCCACTGAAGCTGGGCAGTGCTCCACCCACTTCTTTCTCCAATGTACCTGGGGGTGTGTGTGGGGGGAAGGCCAGCAGACTCCACCGTGGAGGTGACAGTAAGGGACAGCCAAGCAGCACAAGAGAGGCTGGAGGCCCAGGCTGGATGAGGATCTTGGCTCCTGGAGGAGCAGCGGTTGGGGGTGGGGTGGAGACCTCTGGGGTCCTAGGAGGTTCGATGTTGGGGGCGCGCCTCCTCCTGGGACTAAAGGCCCTGGTTTCTGGGTCGGAGGCATCCGCTGGTCCCACTCACCTGCGCTCCTGGCGGGTGGCAGGTCCACAGTCGGCTTGGCGAGGCTGGAGCGCGGCGACCGCAAGTGCAGCCCACATCCGGCCGCCCCCGGAACCCCGACCTCCAGGGCCCAAGGCTCGGCAGCCCTCCCCTCCAAGCCGCCTCCCCCGACTGGCTCCGAGGGCTCGGGGAGAAAAGGAAGGAGATGGGCGCGGTTCCGAGGCTCGCAGCCTCCGCCCCTCCCGGGCTGGGCAGGTAAGTCGGAGGCGGAGCCCCGCCCCTGCCCTGGAGCCCCAGGCTCGCGGTGGGGCGGGGGAGCCCTCGCCCCGTGCTTTGCCCAGACCCGGGGACCCGCGCCCAGCTCCCTCCTCCACGGCCGCGGCCAGTCGGAGGGCTCTCCGGGGCCGGCCTTCCTGGCCTCAGCAGCAGCATCCTTCGCTGGACGTGAACGTCTGGAGCTCAGCCGCGAAGCTGGACGCAGATGCTCGGGTGCATCGACTTCTCCCCCTTCGCCGGTGGCCGGGCTCACGGTCTGCCCGGAGGGCCTGGATGCTCCAGCCTGGCCACTCCCGGGCCGCTAGCGAGGGCGCGGACGCCTGCCCCGGGCGGGAAGGAAGATCCTCCGCCTCGCCTCGTCCGCCCCGTGCGGGTGAGGAACCTGCTCGCCAGGCCGCTCCGGGAGCGGGTGGAAAACCTCCTCCAGCTCTCAGGGTCGCCGACTGGGAGCCTCTGGGCCGAAGGTGTCCCCGGGCTCACCGTGGCCTGTGATCCCCCATTGTCAGCACCCGGCACCTGCAGATTCCAGATTCGCGGCTCCCCGCCCCCCGCGGCTCCCCCCCCCCCCCCCCGCCTCTCCTACTGAGGGGGTGCAGGATCTGGCGCCCGACGGCCCCTTTCTAGACCGGGGCCTCCCCGGGCCAGCCTCTCCCGGAGCAAGGAAGGGGCGATTTACCTTCCCGGCCTCCCGCGGAGGCTGGGGCCCCGGGTTGGGGTTCCAAGGCCTGGTTCCGCAGTACACCTGAAGCCGTTCCCATTGTACGGTGGCTACACACACACAAACACACACATACACACACACACACCACCCCTTCCACCCCCGCTGGAACAGGGTGACCAAGGTCATTCAATAAATCAAATCCAGGAATTTGACTTCACTCTCCAGAAATTTGGCCATAGTGTGTCCAGACCCAGTAGTCCAGCCCCCAGGCCTCTCTATCCCTCCTGAGACCCCAGGCTTTCCACCCCAACCCCCTCCTCAGACCAACATGCCTTCCTGGCTCAGACACAGGTTTAGTTCCTGGGAAACTGCCCACCCTCTCATTCCCTTTGGGCTCTAGCCTGTGCTTCCCCCTCAAACGCCAGGCTTGGCTACCTACGCTGAGTCAGAGACTCTCACCCTCCCCTCTCCCCCAGGCTATTTTGAGAGCACCTTTCTGGGCCTGGGGGGTAGGTAGCTTCTCTGGTGAAAGAAACACCAGGATTGCATCAGGGAGGAGAGAGAGGCAGGGACATTTGGTGCAGGAGGAGTGTCTGGACTGGGGCTGGTGAGGTTGAGGTCAGGATGCCCACGTCCCTGCAGAGGACGCTTTGGTGGTGTGGCATTCCGTGCCTTCCTGATGATCAAGGAATGTCCCCAGGTGACCCTTCAGAAACCTAGAAATTCAGGTAGGATGCAGCAGGGCTGCTTATGGGACAGTCTTTATTTGTCCACCAGGAAGGCAGATTTCCAGGCCCCCAGCCCTCTCCTCCCTCAAGCCCCAGCCCCATTCACCCAGGTCCCGATTCCTCAGACTCAGGAGTCCAGGCCCCCACCTGGAAGGACCCCCTGATTGCATCATCCACTCAGGCTGATCTGGCCACGGTGGAATCCCAGCTCCTGCCAAGTGGGTCAAATATCATGGGTCAGGTGTGGGGAAGGTGATTGGGCGGGTCTGTCTGGATATAAATTTTGGAGCTTCTGCATCCATTCTAAGAGACCTGGGTATTCTGTTCAGCTGTGAATCCACGTGCCAGAGGACCCCCGGAGTTCAGGCTAAGCAGCGATCCTTTGAATCTGCTCTCCCAGGATCTGAAACAGAATCTATACCGTTCAGTTCTTCAAAACCCAGACTCCAGAGCTCGCCTGAAGACGTGAGCCATTGATGGGCTGGGCCGAGGCCGGGTTCGAGCACCTGGGACTGTGGGTCCCTGTGCTGGCTGTGCTTTTGCTGGAAGCCTGCCGGGCACATCCGATCCCTGACTCCAGCCCCCTCCTACAATTTGGAGGCCAAGTTCGACAGCGGTACCTCTACACGGACGATGCCCAGGAGACAGAGGCCCACCTAGAGATCAGGGCCGATGGCACAGTGGTGGGGGCTGCCCGCCGGAGCCCTGAAAGTAAGTGTGTAGGACAGGGTCTGGTTCTGAGGGAGGAGGGGCTGGGGGCCCGGACCCCTGGGGGCTGAGGCACTGCTGTCCTGAGTCTGAGGGAGGAGGGTCCTGGGCAGAGGCCTTCTGAGCCCCTGACACTTTCTCCCCTTAGGTCTCCTGGAGCTGAAAGCCCTAAAGCCAGGGGTTATTCAAATCTTGGGAGTCAAAACATCCAGGTTCCTGTGCCAGGGCCCAGATGGGACACTATATGGCTCGGTGAGTTTCCAGAATCCCCACCTACTCCCCTTGTGCTCCATCTTTCCTCATATCAGCCTCGCCGTCTGAGGGACCACATCTTGCATCTGTGGCCTGGGCCAGCCTTGATTCTGTGCTTTGTACATGGCCCCAACATGCCACCACCTTTGCGTGTGGGAGCTGACCTTGTCCATGTTTACAAGAAGAGGAAACTGAGGCTTGGACAGGGACATGCTGGCTCTGAGTCACGAGGCCTGTGAATGATAGAGTAGTCTGAGAGGCTGAGTCTTGTGACTTATAACCCCTGGTGGCCACATGGGCTTCTACATGGCTGGTTCCTGCTGACACAGGGTCGCTCAGAGAACCCGTGGCCTCTAAAACGACCATGACCCCTTGGGCAGAAGCCAGACACCTCTGTCTGGACTCAGAGAGCCTGGACTGGTCCCTGGACTGGAAGATTTCTCTCTGTGAAGTTGGAGACGGGGGTGAAGGAGGAGCCTGCTTCTGTTGTTTGTGTCCTGGAGGAGGGCTGGGACCTGGACTCTGGATCTGAGGGAGGAGGGGCTCCCCCAACTCCCTAGGAGTGTCTGGACTCCTGTATCCTGTTGGAGGAGACCACTCTGTGGTCTGAAAGAAGAGAGAGCTGGGGGCCCGGACCCCTGGGTCTGAGGGAGGAGGCACTGGGGACAGGACTTCTGGGTCTGAGTGGGGAGGAAGAGGCTGGGCACCCGGCCACCTAGACCCTGCAGTAGGATGATGTGAAGGGTCTCATACCTCTAATCTCCATTCTTGTTTCCTCAGCTCCATTTCGACCCTGTGGCCTGCAGTTTCCGAGAACTGCTTCTTGAGGATGGGTACAACATCTACCACTCCGAGACCCTTGGTCTCCCGCTTCGCCTGCGCCCCCACAACTCCGCATACCGGGACTTGGCCCCCCGCGGCCCTGCCCGCTTCCTGCCACTGCCAGGCCTGCTTCCAGCACCCCCAGAGCCTCCAGGGATCCTGGCCCCGGAGCCTCCTGACGTGGGCTCCTCAGACCCTCTGAGCATGGTGGGGCCTTCACAGGGCCGGAGTCCCAGCTATGCTTCCTAAAGCCACGGGCTTTTTGTTATGGGGTCTCCTCTTTATTTATTGGGTTATTTATCTTATTTATTTTTTTATTTTTCTTACTTGGGATAATAAAGAATCTGAGAGGAGGATCAGAGTGAGCACGTGTGAATGTTTGATGGAGGAGATGGGATCTGCTTCCTTGTCTCCCATCGACCCCAAGAACCCTCTGCTCCCATTGCCGAAAGGCAGTGGAAAGGTCCCAGCCTCCCTCTGGGCCTCAGTTTTCTGCTCTGCTTAGGTGTCCCCAGGGGCTCTGGATTGTCCCTGTCTTTTGACAGGAGAAGACTTCTTAACCTCCCACCTCTCCTCTGCCCACCCCCAGTTTGGAGCTTGTGTTGTGGAACTGTTTTTCTGAGGTCTCTCAATGACAGGGGAATGTTTAAACAATGACACCGTAGACCTACAGCCTCATGGGACATGTAGTTTTCTGGGTCCACTTAGCATGAATAATGGGATGACATCCTGTTCCTCAGGCCTGGGGCAAGGACTCTTGGATCCTAAGGGTATAACATGCTAGGTGGGACTCTTGGGTCCTGAGGAATCAGAAAGCTAGACATCTGGATACCTAGGTCCCAGGAGAACAAGGGAAAAGGAACCTGGAACCCGGCAGCCCTGGTGGTGCAGCGGTAGGGCGCTGCCTGCGGCCCAAGGTCCTGGAGACCAGGGATCGAGTCCCATGTCAGGCTCCCTGCATGGAGCCTGCTTCTCCCTCTGCCTGTGTCTCTGCATCTCTCTCTGTGTTATTCTCATGAATAAATAAATAAAATCTTAAAAAAGAAAGGCTAAATTCCTTAAAAAAAAGGGGGGGGGGACCTGGAACCCTGGTCTGAGGAAGGACAGGAGGGGAGTCCTGGTTCTCAGAAAGAGCACTTTAGGATCTAAATGCATCCATCCATGTGCTTATGGACTCAGGAGTGTAATGACTGCCTCAGACTCCAGTCCCAGTGAATGAGTGAATTGCCTGTTCTCCGCCCCCCTTCCCACAATCTAGATTTCCACATTGCTCCTTGAGTTATTTTCTGGTTGGGAAAGATGAAAAGACAGACATACAGACGACACCTCCCCAGAGTTCATGGTCAGCACCTGTTGGGTCCAGGAGTCTGGTTGACTACTGCAGCATCTCAAGAGTTGTGGTCTTAGGCCCTTCATTTTCTTTTCTTTTCTTTTCTTTTATTTTATTTTATTTTATTTATTTTTAAAAGATGTTATTTATTTATTCATGGGAGACACACAGAGAGGGGCAGAAACACAGGCAGAGGGAGAAGCAGGCTCCACACAGAGCCCAATGCGGGAGTCGATCCCGGGACCCCAGGATCAGGATCTGGGCCAAAGGCAGATGCTCAACCACTGAGCCACCCAGGTATCCAGATGGGCTCTTTTTTTTTAATTCCCATGTTCAAAGAAAGAAACTTAAAAAAAATTTTTTTTTAATCACAAATGAGAGGAACCATCTCAGTGGAAGAGTGTTATAAGCACAGGTCCCAGCGGGCCATGGGAGGGACTCAGTGCCCAGAGGAAATGAAGGTCACATCTTGTGGAAAGTGCGGTTTCCCACTCTGATGGTACTAGGCTGGCTCAGGCGGGAGGAAATTGTTGTGCCCAGAAGCAGAAGCTGATATGCCACAAAACCCACTTGGAAAGAGTGGTTTCATTCCCGAGGGGACTCCATGTGAGATGTAGGCTCCTCCTCAGTGGAGTCCACCTGCCTCAAGAAAGTCTCCCTGTAAAAAAAAAATTAAAAAAAAAAAAAAAAGAAAGTCTCCCTGGTGTGGAGGGGGAAGAAGCACTGGGCACTGCCCTGATCCCTCTCCTGTGCACCCGATTAACTCCCTGATTAACCCCTGATTAACTCCCTGGCCACAGGCTTGGAGAACTCGGCCCTACAGGGGAAAGGAAGAGGTTCTAGAGGAGGGAGCTGTATGATAGAGACCCAGAGAGAAGAGGGGGCGGACAGATAGAGATCCAGAGAGAAATCCAGAGGGAGGACGTCAGAGACCCAGACATAGAAGACCAGAGACTCAGGTAGAGGGAGGTCAGAGACTCAGGAGGAGGAGAGAGACAAAGATGGGCAAGAGAGGCACAGACATCCAGAGAGAGAGGGCAGAAACAGGGAAACCAGACGGGAAACCTGCAAAAGGTGTTGAATAAGTACCTGTCACTCCACCTGAGCATTTTAACTCCCAATTGCATTGTGTCTCCTTCCCGGTAGAAGCAGGTTAGCATCTCCTTCCCCGGAGAGCCCCCCCCCCCCCCCGCGGGGGTTGCTGCCTGAGGACGTAAGTGATCTCCCTGAAGCTCTCTGCCCCTTGGTCTCTCACTCCTTTTTTTTTTTTTTAAGATTTTATTTATTTATTCATGAGAGACACACACAGAGAGAGAGAGAGGCAGAGACACAGGCATAGGGAGAAACAGGCTCCCTATGGGGAACCTGATGCAGGACTCGATCCCAGGACTCCGGGATCACAAGCTGAGCTGAAGGCAGATGCTCAACCACTGAGCCCCCCAGGCCCCCTCTAACTCCTTCTGGACTCCATTCTAGCTGGTCCCACAGGGTGAGGTGCAAAGTGTGGACAGGGAGGAGAGGGGCAAAGTACACCAAAAGCACTGCTGGATCTCTCCCTTGACGTGGCAGTGACCTGAGGGAGCCAATCGGGGAAGAGACCCCAGGAGATGCATTTATTGGTAGAGATCCCAGACCCTGGTGCTAGCTCCAGGGGCTTGGGGTGTCCCTTGTTTGCTCTTTGGCTGGCTGGAAGCTGGCCCCCAAGTGTTCTACACTTGAGATACTGTAGAGAGGCCAATCTCAAAGGGTGGCCCTGGACCAGCCACATCACTGCCTGAGAATTTGCTAGAAATGCACATTCTGACCCCAGACCTCTGGAATCAAAAAATTCTGGGGGCATAGGCAAACTCACAGACAGAAAATCAGCTCAAAGAAAGAAAAAAGAGGGATCCTTGGGCGGCGCAGCAGTTTGGCGCCTGCCTTTGGCCCAGGGCGCGATCCTGGAGACCTGGGATCGAGTTCCACGTCGGGCTCCCGGTGCATGGAGCCTGCTTCTCCCTCTGCCTATGTCTCTGCCTCTTTCTCTCTCTCTGTGTGTGACTATCATAAATAAATAAATAGAAAGAAAGAAAGAAAGAAAGAAAGAAAGAAAGAAAGAAAGAAAGAAAGAAAGAAAAATCAGCTCAGTGTTTTCCCCCCCCAACAGCAGGAGGGTGGAATGGGAGCATATTACTTTCCCGGGGCTGCCAGAACAAAGTACCACAAACCAACTGGCTTCAAACAACAGAGATTTACTTGCTCCTTCCCAGCAGCTGGCAGTCGCTGGCAATCTTTGGTGTCCCTTGGCTTATAGACATGTCACTCCAATTTCTGTCTCCATCTATATATGGCCTTTCCACCAAATGTCTGTGTCTGTGTCTAAATTACCCTCTTAGGAGGACACCAGTCATGTCAGATTTAAGACCTGGTCTAATCTGGTAGGATCTCATTTTAATTTGTTTACATCTACAAAGACCTTATTTCCAAATAAAGCCATAGTCACAGGTTCTAGGCAATGTGAATTTCCAGGCGATGCTCTAGAACTCACTGCACACCTCTGCAGCTGGCTACACTGGTGTGGTCTTGCTCACAGGTAAGTGCATTTAGGAGGAGCATGGGCCAGGGTAGTTCTCCTGGGCGCAGGGTTCTTGAAATTCACTCTTGGCTCATTCCAGGTGGTATTCAAAAATATAACATCTCTTGGGGCACCTGGGTGGCTCAGTTGCATAAATGTCTGCTCAGGTTGTGATCTTGGGGTCCTGGGAAGGAGCCCCACCTGTCTTCAGGCTCCTTGCTCAGCTGGGAGCCTGCTTCTCCCTCTCCCTCTGCCCTGCACCCCTGCTCACGCTCTCTCTCTTGCTCTCGCTCTTGCTTTCTCAAATTTTTAAAAATGTTTAATATATATATAATATATATATTATATATTATATATATATATATATATATATATAAATATTCAAGCCCCACATTAGATGTAGAGATTATTTAAAATCTTTAAGGGGCTCCTGGGTGGCTCAGTGGTTGAATGTCTGCCTTTAGCTAACGTCCTGACCCTGGGGTCCTGGGATCTAGTCCTGCATTGGGCTCCCTGCATGGAGCCTGCTTCTCCCTCTGCCTATGTCTCTGCCTCTCTCTGTGTCCCTCATGAATATGTAAATAAAATCTTTATAAAACATTTTTTGGGGGATCCCTGAGTGGCTCAGCGGTTTGGCACCTGCCTTTGGCCCAGGGTGCGATCCTGGAGTCCTGGGATCGAGTCCCACATCGGGCTCCGGGCATGGAGCCTGCTTCTCCCTCCTCCTGTGTCTCTGCCTCTCTCTCTCTCTCTCTCTCTCTCTCTCTCTCTCTCTCTGTGTGTGTGTGTCTATCATAAATAATAAATAAATAAATCTTTTTAAAAAACCTTTTCTTGGAACGCCTGGGTGGTTCAGTGGTTGAGCGTCTGCCTTTGGCTCAAGGCGTGATCCTAGAGTCCCGGGATCAAGTCCCGCATCGGGCTCCCTGCATGGAGCCTGCTTCTCCCTCTGCCTGTCTCTGCCTCTCTCTGTGTGTCTCTCATGCATAAAGAAATAAAATCTTAAAAAAAAAAAACTTTTCTTAAAAGGTGTATATATATATTTTTAAATATGAAATATAATAAAATATAAATATATATTTAATATATATAGAGGTGCTCATTATTGCCACAATGGGAATCCTATTACAGTATGTAAATGTATCCAATGAACATCTTAGACACTTTCTTTGAATCTATACAATGTTATATGTTAAATATATTTCAACAGTAACAGTTTTTATTTTATTTTATTTTTATTTTTTTAACAGTAACAGTTTTTAAAGCATGGAGCTTGGGCAGCCCTGGTGGCTCAGCGGTTTAGCACCACCTTCAGCCCAGGGCTGATCCTGGAGACCTGGGATCGAGTCCCACATCGGGCTTCCTGCATTGAGCCTGCTTCTCCCTCTGCCTGTGTCTCTGCCTCTGCCCCTGCTCATTCTCTCTCTCTCTCTCTCTCTCTCTCTCTCTCTCTCTCTCAGAACTATGGGATC